CTAGTTAATGGTAGCCCGACTAGGGAGTTTTTTTGTTAAGAGGGGTTTGAGATAAGGGGACCCTCTATCCCCGTTTCTTTTCGTCTTGGTGGCGGAAGTTTTAACGGGGTTGGTGCGGAAGTCGGTGGCGAATGAGGTGTATGAAGGTTTCAATATAAATGGTAAATGCGTTATTAATATTCTCCAATTTTCGGATGACACTCTACTTGTAGTGGAGCGAAATTAGAAACATGTTTGGGATATTAAGACAATTTTGAGGGTGTTTGAGGTGTTCTCGCGTCTTAGGATTAACTATCACAAAAGTAAACTCATCGGTATTAATGTTAATCACAACTTTCTTGATATGTGCGCTTCTTTTCTTTCTTGTAAGATTGAAGGGAACATGTTTAATTTTCTTGGCATTTCTATTGGCACCAACCTTAGAAGGATTGCATCTTGGAGTTCTTTACTTCTTAAGTTGAAAAAAAACGTATTTCTAGTTGGAAGATCGTTTTCTTAGTTTTGGCGGGAGGATCACTCTCCTCAAATTGGTATTATGTTCTCTTTTGATTTTTACTCTTTATTTTTATAAAATACCGGTAAAAATCTCAAAAGAAACTACCAAGATTCAAATTAATTTCTTGTGGGGTGGAAGAAAAAAGGAAGATTCATTGGGTTAAGTGGAATGATGTTTGTTACCTACTGAAAATGGTGGAATTGGGTTAAGAAGGATTGAAGATTTCATTATGACTCTTTTGAATAAATGGAAATGGAGGATATTAGAAGGGTCAGATTTATTATGGCATAATAATGTGCATGCGCATTATGGCGACATTTGCTTGCATGTTACGGAGGGTGGTGATGTTCTAAAGGATGGTAAAACTTGTTCCTCTTGGTGGGCAAATTTGGTGGCGGTTGATAAGAAGATGAAAGTGCCTCCTTTTGTAAATTCCTTGGATTGAAGATTCCTGTTTGAAGGATAAGTTCCTCTTATTGTTCCGATCTCTCACTTGAAGCATGTGGTTGTGGGGGGGGGGGGGGGGGGGGTAAGGGTGGTCGGAGGGGATGTAGGTTTGGGGTGATTTAGGAATTCCTCTTTCTGAGCTGATTTTTCCGCATGTGGAGGATGAATTGTAGCGTCTACTTTCAGTTATGTTTGATAAATCATGTTATGTTCGTGTTGCGGATAAAGTTGAGTGGATGTTACAATCAGATGCTAGATTTTCTATTGCTTCCTGCTACTTGGTCTTAGCAGATTTTTTTTGTTCCGTTTAGATTTTGTTAGCAGCACGATAAGGCGTTGAAGTTGATTTGGAAAACGGAAGTGCCTTACAAAACAGAGCTTTTGGATGAAGAGTTTTAATAATCAAGATTCTGACAAAATATTTGTTAGCAATAAGAGGTTTAAATTCTTATTCTGTAAATTGTGTTTTGTGCAAGATTTTGATGAATATGTGAATCACATTCTTCTTAAATGTAGTGTGGCCAAGTTGGCGTGGAGGGAGATATCGGAATGGGTGGGAATTTTGACTTATGAGGGTGAAGATTTAAGGGGTTGTTTTATGTGGTGGTATAACTTTTCTAAATTCAAGAATCTGAAGAGAAAAAAAGGAAAGGAAGGTATTTTTGGATGGTTATTTGTTGGAGTTTATGGATAGTAAGGAATGGAGTCATTTTCCGGAACAAAGATTGGAATGTGCTTGATACCATATGAAATATCAAGGCATTGATATGGAAATAGTCTTTTATTGAAAATATTACTCATCCCAATTGTAATTGCTACAAGTTTAGTAAAGATCCATTATTTTACTTATCGTAGATTTAATTGGTATGTAACCTCTCTTTTTTGTCGAGTTCTCAAACTCATGTTTTTTGTAACAGGTTTTGAGAACCCTTAATTCTCTTTTCAATATATAACTTACTTAAAAAAAATTAGGTTATTTAGACAAAGAGAAAGAGGGTATATATGGAAAGCTAAAAAGTTAACCTACATCTTTCATGTTTATTTGCTTAGGAGAGAAGATTGGAAATATAAATGAGACCAACTATATTTAAATCTCTCGTTGCTATTCCATTGCCCACCAAACAAGAGAAATAGTGCATTTCTCTATTACCTCTCTCTTTGCTAATTATCTCTTAACAACTTCTGTCAAACCAAACATATCCTAGAGCTGCGTCACTTACCTTCCATTTAGGTCACCTAGATGTTAGGAAAAGAAACCAAATGGAAGTCTTGCCATTTAGAATTAAACATCCCTTTTAAAAAAATAAAACTATTTTAGAATTTTGAAGATAAGGTTCAAATGCATCCGTCGATAATGATAAAATAATTATAATAATAATAATTTTAATGTTTTTAGATTGTTTTTAGGACTTAGGAATTATACCATGATGCATTTAGAATTTTATATATTAATATAATATGTTATTTTAAAAGCAATTAAATCAATAAATTTTTTATTTTTATCTTTTTAGATAATTTTATTGTCTTATTAGTTTTAAAGTTTTAAAGTTTTTAATAGGACTTAGGAATCATTCCTCGATCATTCTTGATAGGAGTCCCATTCAAGGAAAGTGTGGAGTGGAAACAAGTAACTCTTAATTAAGAAAGTTGATGGAGTGAATGTTGACTTAAATTATAGCTACACTATTAGTATTCATTGGTTTCACAAGAAAATATATAAAATAAAAGATAAAATATAGAACAAGAGATTAAAGCCAAGTGTGAAAACCGAATGCTCCTTGAAGGTTGAAGTCATGGAACAGGGAAGGAAAGCACCACCAGCGGTTGACTCACAAAGTCTCCTTTCTCTCAATAATATAATTTCCATATTTTTCTATTTCAAAAGACATCACAATTTTGAAATCTAATTTGAACTTTTCTCTTCATTAAAAATCTATTTTGGCCTTTGAAATTAACCAATGATATATTAAGATGCTAGTTAAACAAAATATCAACGGGCAAAGTCAAACTATTGAAATATATCGATTTCAAGAACACACACCTACTTAAGATAGTTCAACAAAGTAATTATTGTGTGTGGTCTATCACTAAAGTGATTATTATTTTATTTAATTCTTTTATATATAATGTTGTACTTATTAATTAATAAAAAGATTAATTAAATACATTATTATTGTTGTGTATCAATAATAACATGACATCTTGTAATTAGAGTTTTTCAGCATATCGGTTCAAATGATTCACGGTTTTTTTAAGACTGTGTCAGAAAAGTCATATTATAATATTAACTCAAAAAGTATTATTCGAACCCTACTCTTTATGAGTTTCAGACTATTTGATCTTAAATAGACGATTTTTTAAGTTTTTTTAATAAAAAATTAAAATAAAACCATAATATTTTTATAAATAGAATAAAAAATATATTATTTTTAATATAATGTTATTTTTAATATAATACTATTTTTAAGTACAATATTATTTTTTTAATAAAAATTATAATATATTAATACATGTCTAAATTGTATAAAATTATTGTTAATATAAGAGAAATTAATAGAATATGAGAAAATTGAGAAGTTAAACACAAAACAATTAAATATTAGTTTAATTATATTAATGTATAATATTTATATATAAAAAAAAGAAAGATCGAATAGAATTGAGAAAAAATATAGTTAGGTGAGAAATATCAATGTGTTATTTCGTATTGAGACAAAATAAATATTAATATTTTATTGAATTAATATACTAAATATGTCTAAGGAGTTACCCGTACTCCGTACACCATACTCCATACGGGTTAATTCTAATAGATATCAGGCTTATTAAGGTTAGACTAACAAAAATCTTTAAAATATGAATTTTAATTTTAAGGTCCAAGTCCTATGATTTTTTGAGTTTGGGGACCGGCCTATTCCATTTTGACAACTCTACTTGCAAATATTTGATGAAAGAATAAGAGTGACAATTTGACCTATTAAGACAAAATCTTTTTAATCCATTCAATTTATTCACCACATAAAAAAAATTAAGTTAATGAGTTAGATCATTCATCTATTTATATATATGGTTGATCTAATTCATCCAACATATTTTAATGATATAATGAGTTATTTTTATCACATACCTTAATTTTTTTTTAAATAATAAAAATATTTTTGAAATTCTAAAATAAAATAAAAAATATTTTGCTTTCAAAATTTTTTTAAAAAAAATTCATTTTTTCGGAAAAAACTTTTTTTTTTTGGAAAATGAAAAAAATAAAGTTTTTTTTTCGAAGATACAAAAAATCAATTTTTTCAAAAATTAAAAAAAATGATTTTTCCAAATATAAAATTTGATTTTTTTTAGATAATACAAAAAAAAAATTTGATTTGTCCGAAAATAATTTTTTTTTTCAAAAATACAAAAAAAGTCATTTATTCCAAAAATAACAAAATACATTATTTTTTGAAAATAATAAATAATCTTTTTTTTAAAACAAAAAATTGCTTTTTTTCAAAAATAAAAGATCCCATTTTTTGAAAATAAAAAAATTTCAAATTTCTTCGAAAATAAAAAACTTGATATTCCATAAATAAATTGGCTTTTATGAAAATAAAATAAAAATCAATTTTTTTTTATGTTTTCAAAAATCCAAAAAATTGTTTTTTTTTTCAAAATAATAAAAAACAATTTTTTTTCAAAAAAAATCTATTTTTCAAAATCAAAACGAATCAAATCCAAAAGATATATTAATCAAGAAAGATGAACAAAAATAAGGGGACTAGGTCAAAGTCTCAAGAGCTAAGAAACTCTGAAACTCGGTAACCCGTGAAGGTTCCTGATATAATCATTAATTACATTAGAGTGGAGATTATTCGACAACGTTTATATTCTAGATGTTAGGCCTAGGCTAGCTAAAATGTCTGCACAATAATTGTCTTCCCTGAAAATATAGATGGCCAAAAAAGAAATAGATCTAGTAGCTAGGACACAGTTATACCAACGGTTTCTAATACTCCAAGGCACCAAATTCGGATTAGAGATGGAATGAACAACACGCATGGAGCTTGTTTCAAGCCAAAAAGCATTGCCACCGGAAAGTAATGGCATGCTCGATAGAAATAATCGCACCCATGATCTCGGCAAAAAAAGAGTCACTGTTACCAAGAAAACACGAGAAGCTACCTAACTGAACTCCTGAGCTATTACAAAAAATACCACCATCACCAACAAGATTATTTTTGGAGGCTCGATAACAATTGACTTTAATCCAACTGTGGAGATGGGGATACCAAATAACTTCCTTGACCATTGAAGGATTAGGAGGAGGAATCGAAAGTCTAAAGGTCTTTAACAGAAAGAAATCAGAAATAGAAAATTGAGATTTAGGCTTAACAGTTTTACTGGCCAGCCTCACTTGAGAGAAAATTTGAGTAGCACTACACTCCCATCTAGGCAGAAAACCATTGAATCTAGAGTTATTCCTAGCTCGTCAAATTCCCATGAGAACATTACAGTAGCCTCCAAAATGATAGTCTTAGAGATCTTAGATGAATCAAGAACCTTCCAGCAATCATCCAAGGAAGAAATCATATTGCTCTTAGAAATGTTACGAAACCAGCCCCAAATCTTGCTAGCATAAAAACAATAAAAAATAGATGATGAAGGGATTCCTCAGAAAGCTTACAAATACTACACATTGAGGCCAAATGTTTCCCTCTACGAACCAACTTATCATCGACTGTGAGCTTACGATGCAAAATTCTCCATAAAAGAATATAAATAGAGGGAGGAACGCACAAATTCTAAATCATCTTACCTCATGAAACGGATGGAGGAGTGCCTGTCAAATGCAAGTAGGCCCTTTTCAACATTAAAATACAGTCAGATTCGGGGCACCAAACATTCATATCATTCTTATTCTTAGCAACCATTATATCCTTGATATAGTTCATGAGCTCAGGAATCAGAGTAAGAAGAGAGGAAATGACCGCCAATTGGTTGTTGCTGATGATGCAACTAAGCTTGGAATTTAGCTTACTGTAATGAGTTTGCGGGATCTGGAGCAAGTCAGCCACCCTTTTCCCACACCAATTATCCAACAATAAATTGATATTCTCCCCGGTGCCAACCAACCACGCGGTGTTCTCCTTGAAAAATTGCATCATATATTTCAGACTAGACCATAAAAAAGAGGAGACATGATATTTAATACGGCCTCTCTGTCTAAGAACTCTCGCACGTAAAACCAAAGCCCATGGATCGTGAGAATTGGAAAACTCCTAACAAGAAAGAAGGTTGGAAGCATCGTTGAGCATGATTAACCCTCTCAGTCCAAGACCCCCACTCTCCAGACTTTGACAATAATTCCTCCACGAAACCGTTATCATTTTCTTCTTCGAAGTGTCCCCAGACCAAATGAAGTTTTTGCACCATCTATCAATTTATCTAAGAAGGGAAGGAGGCCAAGAGTAGATTGTGAGAGTATGCATTAGCGTGCTGTGGATGACAAATTTAACTAACAGGATTCTACCCACTAAAGAAAGAGAATGCGCTCTCCAAGTGGCAAGCTTACACCGAATACGGTCCGCAACAGGTTGGAAATGAGCAACTTTAAGTCTACCTTTAAAGATGAGAGAACCCAAAAAAGTAATAGGCAACAGTAAAATTTAGACTCTCAATTAGAGAAAGGTGCCTCTGAGAAGACATGGCGCTTGCATAAAGAATGGACTTTGAAAGATCTAATTAATAAATGATTTTTCCCAAAATACAAAAAGTTGATTTTTTTTTTCTAAAACAAAATGATTATTCTTTAAATATATTTTAAAATTAATTTTTCATGAAAAAATGATTTTTACTTTTGAAAACTTAAAAATCATATATTCTATAAATTTTTAATAAAAAATTAATAAATATATTTTAATTAATATTTTGGATATATATATATATATATATATATATATATATATATATATATATATATATATATATATATATATATATATATATATTTTAATTAATATTTTGGATATATATATATATATATATATATATATATATATATATATATATATATATATTAAAAACATTAATGGGATGGATGAGATGGATTATATCCTTAATGGATGGATTTGATTTGATCTTTTTAAAAAAGTTTTAGTGAATTATTTTTATCCATGCATTAACAATTCAATCAATATCCATCTATTTTGTCACTCCTATGAAAGAATGTGTTTTATATCAAGGGTCAAAATGCATAGTGTAACACCCGATAATTTAATTAATTATTTAATTAAATTATTTTTGAATTATTTGTTGATGTTGTGAGATGTTGAGAATTGTTGGTATAAGTTGTTACATTATTGTTAATTAATTAATTAGTTGATTAATAATAATAATGTTGGAATTAATGAAATAATATAAGATTAAGTTGTTGGGCTTATTTATATGGTGGTATGTAGTAAGTGGGGGTGTGTGAGTTAGGCCCAAATGTGATTACTGAAATAAGGTTAAGCTGATATGAGAAAATAGGTTTTGTCAAGTAGAAGAGGAATAAGGATTGGAAGAGAAAAAGAGAATGTAGAAATTGCAGAATAAAAGGGAAAAGATGCAAAGCTAGGTTTGATCGAAGAATTGTAGAGCGGTCTCCAATACAAGGTAAGGAGAGGTTTCTGACTATATAATGGTAATTATGATACATGTTACATAGGAATTGGGTTGTGTAAAATTATTTATGTGTGTGATTGTTGTATGAACAAATTATTGTTTGGTATCTGAGGTATTTGTGCTAACGTTGCAGTGATTCCAATCGATGAATCGAGTGTTGAAATTATCATGTATTGACGTGAGTATGGTTGTTATGTTACTGCAAATATATTGTTTTGGTATGAGACCTGTAATCGAAGGAAAATTGGAAGATTCTGTGTTGGTATCAGTAATAGACTAAAGTCTGTGTAAGGCTGCGTGAAAGCATGTCGTGTCGAGGGGCACGGTTAGTGTGACGAGGGGCACGTGTAATTTTCCATGGACGGTTAGTAACTGGTATGGTTTTAGTTGCAGAGCTAGTAGTAAATAACAGAAACCTTAGTAACTAAAATATAGTAGCATTAGAGATAATTTAAGTAGCCGGAAATAATAGTTTCATTAATTAAGCAGAAAACTATTGATAAGGCTTATTAGCATAATAATTTAGTAGAAACATTTTAGTAGGACCGTGTTGATAATAGTATTGATACATATAAGTTGTTTTAATGTTGTTATTATTAATTGTTGAAGTTGCAGGTGAGCAATTAAGTTGTGTTGCTTCTATTGATTGGAAATTATTAGATTGTAGACTTATGGCAGTGGAATACCCTTTGTCAAGAACTTTCAGACCAACAACAAGAATTTGAAATCTTGAAAACATAGTCTCTATTAATTCACTCTCTTCCATCTTGAATGCCTCATACTTCTGAATGAGTGCAAGGGCTTTGGTTTCTTTGACTTGAATGTTGCCTTCATGCGTCATTCTCAGAGAGTCAAACATATTCTTTGCAGTGTCTCTGTTTGATATCTTTTCATATTCTGAATAAGAGATGGCGCTGAGAAGAATTGTTTTGGCCTTGTGATGATTTCTGAAATCACGCTTTTGCTGATCAGACATTGCTTTCCTGTCAATCTTCTGACCACTTCCATCCACTGGGTGCGTGTATCCATCAGTCACCATGTCCCACAGATCAGCATCATGGGCTAGAAAGAAACTTTCAATTCTGTCTTTCCAGTAGTCAAAGTTCTCTCCATCAAAGACTGGAGGTTTGCCACCGAATCTGTCTCTTTCTTCATTGTTATCATTGTTGATGTTTTGATGTGGTCCTGCCATTGTGTTTTTCTGACGCTGGATCTTGTACTGACACGGTTAAGTGTTATAAGCTCAGAACCAGGCGCTCTGATGCCAATTGAAGATGTGAAAAACACAAGAAGGGGGTTGAATTGTAAAACTTTAAATCAAATGCAGACAACACTGTATTTTTATCCTGGTCCATTTGATCTCAAACTACTCCAGTCCACCCATCAAGGTGATTTCGCCTCTCTCCAACGAGGTCTTAATCCACTATATTCAATAGGATTACAACAGTCTACTTTAACAACTGTTAAAGCCTTCTTGAGTCTAACCACATACCGGTTTATCTCAAGGAAAATCTCTTACAGATAATTGAACAAAAATGTGTGTTAATGTTTTCTAACAAAACTATATATCACAACTGTGATAATACACAATATTAAGCTTGGAATAAAAACTGGGTTGCTAGTGCTTTTGAGTAGGCGTGGTTTGAAAGCTTAGCAAATTGTATGAGTGCGTGCATTTTCGTAGGCGTGTATATGCGTAGATTATTAGCCTTTTCTTTTCTCATACTGACTTGTTTATATAGCCAAGGCAAAGATACATTGGTGTCCATAAATCACTTTCAATGACCATAACGTTCTTTCCTTTTTGAGAAGATCTTGTCTTGGATAAAGCCGTTGGTAATCAGTCTGTCTTGAATGCTTAGTAACGCTTCAAAGTCTTCTCTTCTTATGGTAATCAGAGTGTTCTTTGCTTTAGCTTATGCTGACGCTTCTGAGTGCTGATGACTTGGTAAGGATCTTGATCAGAGTTAGAGTATTTTAAGCGCAGATTCTGGTCATCAGGCTTCAGCGTATGATCTGGTAACTTCAGCGTGTAGCACATGTTATTGATCTTCTGATGCTGACATATCTTCTGATGCTGATGTTGATATTGATCTTCTGATGCTGATTCCATCAGAACTTCTGTAAATACACAACATAATTTTAAGTAGCATATATGTCATATATATAAATCTTATAATTTATTTATTCTTGTATTTTGTTATCATCAAAACTCTAATTGAGGGTTGTAGAATCAAACTATGTTCTAACACTTATGTCTGTCTTGAAGTTTTTTTTTTTAAATGTATTTGTTTTAGTAAAACAAAATTTGTAAGAATGTGATATCAACTCAGAATTTATAGTAAACCTTACAGGAGTCAGGATACCTTTTTGTAACATTATGCTTTCGAACTAACCCATGCTCCAGTTAGGACTTTGAAGGGTTGTAACATGGCCTGGTTCACGATTTAAGAAGCAAAGTATAAAGTCTCAAAGTTTGTTTGTACCCAACCCGTTCTCCGTGATGTCCTTCAGTCCTATACTCAGTTAATGATGCATTTGGGCTCCAATAGATTTTGGAATTACAACACTAATACTTGGTGATGGTTCAGAAACCGAGAGTTTATATGAGAAGGCAATCATTTTTCTTGTAACGTCTTTCTTTTGTTGAGGATTTGTAGCGACCTATTTTTGACTTTATTATCCCTAATTTTTGCCTGACTGTTTTGTTTGAGATTACAGTCAGCGGGATGCCCTAGTTTTTCTTAAGTCTCCTTCATGAGTTTTGACTTAGCGGGCTCTTATTTGAAAGATAATGACTGCCCAATTTAATGATTACGCGGAACCATCACAAACTTTTGATTCGGAAGGATGTCTTTGATATCAGCTGTTGTGTACGAAGGAATAACTTGCAATTGAATGCATAATTGAATTAACTAAGAAACTACCCTGCCCCGGGTTATGATTAAGGGTTTTAATTTGCGTGAAAAAGAAAACTCCTACTTCTTAGGCTCAAAGGGGTTTGACTAGGGATTAACTTCCTTATATCTCCACTGTTTAGGAATTGAAGCAACGCTTGTACATCGTCAACAAGGTCTATTCAAAAGCATATTGTATGCGAACATGGTATCAATTTTATCATCATCCCTCTAAAGGCTTACAACTTTTAACGAGAGTTGAATATTACAAAAAGGAAGTAAAAAAACATAGTTTTAATATAGTGAAAACGAATGGATTAACTCAAGACAAACATATGCAATTCATTAATGGTAAGAACCAAAGTTTGACATGACAGTAATTGTTTGAATCAACCAAAATAAATTACAAATAAAAATTCAAATAATCTTAAAGCTCCTCTGCCTGAACTTGTCACTTCAGATGGTGTGCCTTGTAGCCTCAATATTTGGGGGATAACAGAAGAACTCAATATGACCATCTTATGTGAACTTGAAAACTCCTTCATCAATCAGGCCTGGAACCTTATGTTTCAATGCCCAACAACTGTTAGTGTCATGTCCATGATTGTTGGAGTGGTACGCGCACCTTACATTAGGATTGTGACGGGGAGAGGCAGTATTGGGGTTCTGAGAAGGATCCTTCAATGTAACCAGGTTGGCCTTCAACATGTGTTGCAATGCTTGAGCCAATGACATGTTGAGTTCGGTAAATTGTATTTTAGGTATATCATGCTTATGCTGATTACCCTATTGTTGTTATTCTATTGGTGCAGGATTATAGATCCGTACTGCCTCCACAGATTGGTTGAGATCCCTCTTATTATGACCCTTCTG